AGGGGTTACAATTACATGGGCAAGATAATGAGTACATTTCTTATCAAGCATTGTAGCCTCCTCCTTTGTTTCCCCTTCCCATCCCTTCCCATCCTCCCCACCACCACCAAAGCTGTAAAGTTCGTTTTCGACATAACGACTTGTACATCTCATTGTTGCAATGGGTCCACCTGTATCTCTATTTAAACGATTTCTAATAACCACATTTTTAAACAGGTCCTAATCACTCAGTAATAGTAACCTAAGATGAGGGGAATTGGAGGTTTTGTTCAAGCTGTCATCCATAGCCAGCACACAGACAGCAGTGTCCCAGAGATGAGCAACTGTACATCTTACACACTTCCCAAACACACAACAGTCTGACACAAAATTTGGTCATCACTTGGTCAACCCATATCCCTAGGCTGGTATCTTCAATGGGACTCCACATCTTCCTCGAACCAACAAAGCCACAGAACTAAGACAACCGCTCAAGTTTTCCTAGCTGTCATGTGAGATCTTCCAGCACAGTGTGAGGAATCTAGGACTCCAAGGATGGGCACCTGTGATCTACTCCTGTAACCCCAGCTACTCAGGAGACTGTGGTTGAGGATTGTAGTTTGAAGCCAGCCTGGGCAGGAAAGTCTCTGAGACTCTTATCTCTAATTAACCAGCAAAAAGCCAGAAGTGGAAATGTGGCTCAAGCAATAGAATACAAGTATAGAGAAAAATACCTAAGGATAAGCACAAGGCCCCAGCACACACACACACACACACACACACACACACACACACAGGTCTAGACTCCAGCATTCCCTACTAGAAACCCATTTCACAGTGCCAACATTTCTCAAGGATTCGCCTTACCTGGTCAACTCTGCCCTATCAGTATGTTGGGTCTAGGTTCAAAAGGAATTAATCTCCTCCTGAATGCCACCTCAGAAAAAGGAGAGAATCCAGCTTGGTCCTGGAAATCAGTGTCCTTTCTGCACAGCTAGGCAGTGAACCCACAAACCCCCAGACGAGAGAGCAGCCTTGTGCTCCTGGAAGGAACCTCAATGTCACAGAGCAACGTGCACTCACACGGTGACAGGAGACAAGCTCCTGATCCCCTCTCACGCCTGTCCCTGGGTGCACAGCGCGTAGGCACACAATGCAGAGGGTTCACACCCCTTCCACTTCATCCCCGCTAACCTGAGCTCCCACTGAGGCTTCTGCAAAGGCAGGGAGCTGCCACTCACTGCTTTCAACAAACAGACCAGAATTTATCAACGAGCCTTCAAGCATCAAGTGTGTCCTTCCACAACTCCTTTCTTTGGACAAAGTGAGTGAGTAAAGGTTCCTCCAGAAGCCAGGAGATGGTGGGTCACACCTGTAATCCTAGCTACTCAGGAGCCTGAGATCTGAATATTGTAGTTCAAAGCAGGAACATCTGTGAGACTCTCATCTCCAATCAATCACCAAGAAACCAGAAGTAGAGCTTCAAAGTGAGCCTAGGCTCAAAATGGTAGAGCAAAAGAGCTCTGGGACAGCATCCAGGCCCTGAGTTTAAGTCCCTTGGCAAAAAAAAAAAAGAAAAAGAAAACAAAACAAAACAAAAAAGACATCTTCAGCAATATGCTGATAAGATTAAAATTCCCTCCCACAGAAACATTGCAACGTGGCAGAAGCCCAAAGCAGGGTAAGCATAGGGACAGTTTGTGCATGGCTTTGGGGGAAAACAGAACTGGATAGACAGACAGACAGACAGACAGACAGACAGACAGATAGATAGGGAACCTCATGTTTCAGTTAGCAGTTGAGCCAGACACTAGTCTTACAACTTTAATCTTAGCTGTTCGGGAGCGTGAGATCTGAAGATCACAGTTCAAAGGCAGCCTAGGCAGAAAAATCGGTAAGACTAATTGCCAATCAACTATCAAAAGGTTGGAAGTGGAGCTGTGGCTCTAGTGGTAGAGCTCCAGCCTTGAGCAAAAAGCTAAGGGACAGCACCTAAGCCCTGAGTTCAAGCCTTAATACAGGTACAAAAAAATTGCTCATTGACAGCTGGCGCATAGATAACTGTGCAAATAAGCAAAAGACTGGGGTGCAAGGAGAAAAGCTATGTTACTTTATGGCTTTGGGTACAAAGCAAGAAGAAATCGACAAAAGGGACAGGGGAAGAGGTGGGAAGGACTATTCAGGCCAAGTTGTGTTCGTGGCAAGCAGGGCCAGCTTCCAGTCCTGCTCCAGTATTTCGTCATAACTGGCTTGCTCCAGATGGAGCTATACTCTAGATCCACAATCCAGAAAAGTCTCACCCCAACTATTCACCACCCCAACTTGTTTTTTTTTCCCCCCTACAGTTCTGAGAGTAGTACCCAAGTCAAATCACTTTAAGCCTTTGACTTTGGTAGTGTTGCCGGCAGTGAGCTGGAGGGTATCCTGGAAGATGCCCAATGCCCAATGTCCAAAGCCAGCACTACTGAAAGGGGCTGGCAGCAGCTTCCTAGGACAGAACGATGCCTTCTTCTGTCCCTCACATTTCATATTCCAGATCACTTCTGCAGCTTATAACCCAGCATTTGACTTCCAAGATTCATGCAAAAGACACAGTCTTTCCATACTCCCTGATACCTTCTAAGGTATTAAGAAATGTACATAAGCCAGGCGCCAGTGGATCAAACCTGTAATCCCAGCTACTTAGGAGGCTGAGATCTGAGGATCTAAGTTCAAAGCTTGCCTAAGAGGCTGGGAATGTGGCTTAGTGGTATTGTAGTAGAGTGGTTGCCTAGCATGCATGAAGCTCTGAGCTTGATTCCTCAGTACCACATACACAGAAAAGGCCAGAAGTGGCTCTGTGGCTCCAGTGGTAGAGCCACAGAAGCTTGAGCAACAGAAGCTCAGGGATAGTGCCCAGGCCCTCAGTTCAAGGCCCAGGACTGGCAAAAACAAAAAAAAGCCAGCCTGAGCAGGAAAATCATCATGAGTCTCTTTATTTCCAAATAATCACCAAAACTAAAACAAAAAAACAGCTGGAAGTGGAGCTGTGGCTCAAGTGGTAGAACACTAGCCTTGAGCAAAAGAATTCATGGACAGTGCCCAGGCCCTGAGTTCAAGCCCCAGTACTAATACAAAAAAAAAAAAGTATACAGTAAGAAATGAGTTATACAAGCCAGGCACTGGTGGCTCCGGCCTGTAACCTAGCTACTCAGGAGGCTGAGATCTGAGGGTTGTGGTTCAAAGCCAGCCCAGGCAGGAAAATCTGTGGAGACTCTTATCTCCAATAAACCACCGGAAAACCAGAAGTGGCTCTGTGGCTTAAGTGGTAGAGCGCTAGCCTTGAGCTGAAGAGCTGAGGGACAGTGCCCAGGCCCAGAATTCAAGCCCCACAATTGACAAAAAAAATAAGTTATACAAAGATCCCAATGAAGAATCTCACCAATTTGCAATATGAGTAA